AAAGATTTCATGACGCACACACCAAAAGCAACAGCAACAAAAGCAAAAATTGACAAACGGGATCCAATTAAACTTAAGAGCTTCTGCACAGCAAAAGAAACTATCAGCTGAGGAAACAGATCATCTATGGAATGGGAGAAAATATTTGCAAACTATGTATCTGACAAAGGTCTAATATACAGCATCTATAGGGAACTTAAATTTACCAGAAGAAAAAAAAAAAAACCAAACCACCCCATTAAAAAGTGGGCAAAGGACATGAACATACACTTTTCAAAAGAAGACATACATGTGGCTAACAAGCACATTTTTAAAAGCTCAGTATCACTGATCATTAGAGAAATGCAAATTGAAACCATGATGAGATACCGTCTCACACCAGTCAGAATAGCTATTACTAAAAAGTCAAATAATAACAGATGCTGGCAAGGTTGCAGAGAAAAGGGACACTTACACGCTGATGATAGGAGTGTAAATTAGTTCAACCATTAAGGAAGGCAGTATGGTGATTCCTCAAAGAGCTAAAGGCAGAATTGCCATTCGACTCAGCAGTCCCATTACTGGGTACATACCCAGAGGAATATAAATTGTTCAGCCATAAAGACGCATGCATGTGTATGTTCACTGCAATCCACAGCTCACTGCAAGCTCTGCCTCATGGGCTCAAGCAACCGCCCCACCTCAGCCTCCTGAGTAGCTGGGACCATAAGCCCACACCACCCTGTTCACAATGGCAAAGGGAAGACATCAACCTATTGCCCGTCAATGATAGGCTGGATAAAAAAGAAAAGTAGTACATATACACTGTGGAATACTATGCAGCCATAAAAAAGAACAAGATCCTGTTTTCTGCAGGAACATGGAACTGGAGGCCATTATTGTCATATCCTAAATTATGAGAACGCATGGACACATAGAGGAGAACAACACACTGGGGCCTACTTGAGGTGGGAGGGTGGGAGGAGGGAGAGGATCAGAAAGAGTATCTGTTGGGTACTAGGCCAATACCTGGGTGTTGAAATAATCTGTACAACAAACCCCCAAGACATGAGTTTACCTATGTAACAAACCTGTACATGTAGCCCTGAACCTAAAATAACAGTTTTTTTTTTGAAGATACTGGGTTTCTGAACTCCCCAGGAGGTCAGGAGGAAGAGAGAACATATGAGACAGGTGTGGTCAGTGAGGAACTTGCAGGGATGGCAGGGGGCAGGGAGCAGCAGAGTTTGAGGAGAGGAACCAGAAGCCCAGCCCTGGGCCCACCTCTGCCTTCCCGTGTGTGCGCCTAACTCAGCTTTCAGGTGAGAGCTGGAGCTCGGGAGGTTATGTGCTCACTTGGAGTTGCACGTCTAGGAATCCAGATGATGGTCCCACGTCTGCTGTGTGCCTGCCCTAGTATATTGCTAGGACAGCCAACCTCCACTCAGGGGCTGCAGCCGGCCAGCTGGCATCTACCAGGCTCAGCTGAGAGGGGTTCAGGGCCTAAAGGAGTTGTGGCGCGCCAGGTCTAGGCTGCCTGCTGGCTGCTGTCAGGATGAATCCTATTGTAGATTGATTCTTTTTAGCAACCAGAGACTTTCAAACGTCAATGGCCATACGGTCTCCATGTTATCCTTCCCATCCTGGCACCACTCACTCCTTGTGCTGCAGCCACCATGGGTGCCTGAGTGAACAGCCCCCAAATTCTATTCTAACTCCTTATTTAAAAGATGAGGAGACCTAAGACTGAGGAATTTGAAATAAATAAGCAAACCGGCTTGCCTGAGTTCACTATAGCTGCCTGCTGGCCTGTGACTCTCACAGCTAGTACAACCTTCCAGCACCTTCCACGACTGGTTTCTGTAAGAGAGGATTGTTTTTCTCCCAGTCCCCTTAAACATTCTGTAGGTAATTACAGCACTCATGGCCCCATTTTCTCACTGTGTTATTTGCCACCCTGGGTCTGTTCAGATGGCAATCTCCTGAAAACCAGGCACCTCCTCCTTGTACCCATGGCACCGTCGTGGTGCCTGGCTGCTGTCAGCACAGAGCATTAGCTCTGAGACACCTCCTCCTTGTACCCATGGCACTGTCGTGGTGCCTGGCTGCTGCATTAGCTCTGAGAGTTGCCCTCCCAGTTCCACGTCAGGTGGTAGTGTTTTGTTTTGGTGGCTTGGTTCATTTTTTCTTATTGCAGTATTATCACTGCATGGAAAGCAGAAGTAGTCTTCCCAAGTTGTGTAAAGACCCCATTAAACAGACACCACATGCTTCAGAGAGGCAGGAACAGGAAGAAGGAAGGGATTCCCTGTGCTGGAAGGAAACCAAGTCTACATTGTCCTGAGAGTCAGGGATACACCTGTCTGTGCAGCATTTGGGAAGGTCAGAGGAGACAACTGTGTGGTGTGCACTGGAGAAGCGTGGGGCCCCTGTGCTCACCACCACCCTACGCCCCTGTGAGGCAGGGGGCACCTGGTACACTGTGACCAGCACTCTCCCAGCTTCCTGCCAGGAGGAGCTCTAACTCTGGACAGTGGCCGTAACGATGGGCTCACATTTCCCCAACTCCTTAGATACTGTAAGGTTTTTGACTTAAAGAAAATTTTAAAACATGATTTTTCAACAAATTGATTGCCAAAAAATCTCTGTGGTTAAGGAGGCACTTCCCTACTGGTCACTGCTTCCCCATGCCAAGCCTTCTGCCTGGGCAACTGCTCCACAATCTCCAGCTGCACCGCATGTTTACAAATGCGTTTCTCCCCGCCCCTCTGGGGTTTTTCTCCTCCTCCAGCAGTGAAATTCCAGAAGGCATTGAGTGGGTTACTCTTCACAAGCACAGTTAAGCCCAGGCCTGGTAGAAAGCACACAAAGAAGACCCAAGATCATGCATATGCTGACCCATGTTGGACGGAGCTGCGGCATGGCCTCCTGCTGTTACTCTGTGGGTTCCTGATCCTGTTCTGTAGGTTTCTGCTGTTACTCTTTGAGTTCCTGCTATTACTCTGTAGGCTCTGCTATTACACTATGGGTTCTGATGTTACTCTGTGAATTCCTGCTGTTACTCTGTGGATCTCTCTGAATTCCTGCTCTTATTCTGTGGATTTCTTTTGTTGCTTTGTGAGTTTCTGCAGTTAGTTTACCTGTTTACCATCCAGACAGGAATTCTTTCACTAGGAATTGTGTGGATGCTGGCCAATTGGGCTAAGTTTAATATTACTGTGTCCCCTATTGTGGTGGTGGGGTCTTGGCTTGGCAATTTCTACTAATACTCCATATGCAGTTAACCTTGACCCATTAGTTAAAGAAAAATACAATCTCAGGCCTCCAAACTTACTGCGCCAAAGGGAAAAGCGCGCGCGCGCGCGCGCACACACACACACACACACACACACACACACACAGCCTTCCTTTTGTTCCCTAAAGCTTACTTTATCTTTTGTGAAATGTAGATCTACTGAGTATGAGATAGATGCGTAACCCTCCCCCATACCTGTCTTTCCACATGTGAAATTTAGATTTGCTGTACTCTCATTAGAGCCTCAGAAGAATGTGACCACTTGCCTCATAGCCTATTCTCCCATCTTTCTCCTCCTGCTGGCGCTTTTCCCTTTAAATATTTGGAAAAAAGTACAGGCCATAAATCCTACTGTAACCTGTGTTTCTTTTTCCCAAGGCACGTCCACAATTTGGCAAAATAAACCTCTAAATCAATTGAGATCTGCCTCAGACACTTTTTGGTTTACATAACAATCCAATCATAGATTTATTTGTAAATACACCTTCACAAGTTAAATCACAGAGCTCCTGAGCATTATTTATAATGGCAAACTATTGCAAACATTCTAAAGCCCATCGTAGACGTCATAGAGACTATTCGAATAAATTGATACATTTATATAACGGAATAATCTGCAACCTTGAAAGGAATGAAGGAAGGAATAGAGAGAGAGGGAAAGGAAGAAAAAGGAGAGAGCGAGGGAGGGACAGACAGGTGTTTAAATTAGGGATGTGCAAGCAGTATTGCCTACTTCATTGCCTTCACATTATTTAAAAACGTGGTCAAGTAACACTATTATAATAAGCACATCAGAAATAACTTCTAAAATTACTTTTCCAAAATACGAATCCGTACTATACACTTCCTGTAATGTGCACCAAATATAGATGCACACATTTTTAACAAGGAAAAGACTAATACTCATACTTGCTTGCTACACACCAGACGCTGTGTTAAATGTTTTGCACACGCTAACTCATTTGTTCTTATAGAAATCCTGTAGAGCTCACCGCCTCCATGTTTCTGGGAGGAAACTGAGGCACAGGGGCTGCGGCTCCCGGAATCACCTGGCCTTCTCGGCCACGCCTGCCTCTCCCCCTCCAGCCGCCCCACATTCTTTTTTCCTAATTGGAAAAAACTATTCACGCTGCTCTTCCAGGGCATTTCAGCCTTCTAGAAAGATCTGACAAGATTCCAAACTGTTCTTATAAAGAGAAGGTGCTGGTGCCTGAATGCTGAGTGTGAGCGCGCAGTGATGCCCGAGAGTGCAGGCACCCCGGCCTAGGCGCCCAGCCGGGTACAAACACGGCCGCAGGACGGAAATCCGGCGGCGGGGCTGCCCAGGCTCCTGTGGGACCCCCGCGGCGCGGGCACGCGCATGCTCTCACGGGCACGCACATCCTCGGGGACGCGCCTCTTCAAGACACGCGAACGCCTGAAGGCCCTGGCCGGCGTCCTCCAGTGAAGACCTGGACCGGCATCGTCCCCCGCCGCGCAGGCGTAAATCTCCCGGCGATCGCAGGGATCGCGGGCACCGACGCCGCCCGTCCCTGCCCACCCGAGCCCCACCCTGCGCCTCCGCGCCTCCACGCCCTGCACTCTAGACACGCGCGGACAGAGGGGCGGTGCCTACTACGCAGGCTCACGCTGCTGGCGTCAGGACCCGGCAGCAACACTGCCACGCGCATCCGCGCCGGCCAATCAGCGCGGCCAGGGGCGGGGCTTCCCTCCGGCGCGCCGGGAGTCAGCGGCCCACTTCCGGCAATAATCGCCGCGACGCCGTCAGGTGCGGGCCTAGGTCGCCGGAGCGCCAGGTGGGCACTGGGGGCCGCGGGCGCGTCAGGTGGGGACGGCTGGCCACGGGCGAGTCAGGTGAAGACCGGGGACGCCGGGCGCGTCAGGTGAAGACGTGGGGGTCGCGGGGGCGTCAGGTGGGGGCCGGGGACCGCGGGCGCGTCAGATGGGGTCGGGGTTGCCGCGGGCGCGGCAGGTGGGGACGTTGGACCGCGGGCGCGGCAGGTGGGGTCGGGGTTCCCGCGGGCGCGTCAGGTGCGGACGTTGGACCGTGGGCGCGGCAGGTGGGGTCGGGGTTGCCGCGGGCGCGTCAGGTGCGGACGTTGGACCGCGGGCGCGGCAGGTGGGGTCGGGGTTGCCGCGGGCGCGTCGGGGGGGGACAATGGACCGCGGGCGCGTCAGGTGGGGTCTCGGGGGCGGCCGGCGGGTGTGGAGGGTTCGGGGAGCCGCCCGCAGGTGCACCGCGTGTCCTCAGCCGCTTCCCCTGCCCACCTTTTGCCACCCCTTCCCGCCCCCACCCTCCTAGGCCCTTTTGCGGGCCCGAGCTTGTGTCCGCCTCGCTGGGCAAGGTGTTTCGGGGACTCCTCCTGCCCGCGTTTGCCCTCCGGGCCCGGCCCTTGCCTCTTCGCCGGTGGACACCTGCCTGGGTGTGACCCTGCGTTTCTCCAGGCCACTCTGCCCCGTCTGCTGCTTACCTTAACTTATTCTTTTTTTTCGCTACTCCTGGTCTGTGGCTCTGGCTCTGTCTCCTCCCTTTAATTCTTTTCCATGCTTGTTTTTCTTGCAGCAGACGCTAAGTTTGCATCCTTCCCCCTACAGTAAGCTCAATTTGACCTTTCTCTCAATTAGATTCCACTTCTATCCTTGGGCCTATTCAAACTCATTTTGAAAACTAAAGAATCTAGAGAATAATTTCTTCCCTTATGAAGCTGTCTCTTGCTGCCCCCAAATCCTTAGCATCCGGCCCTAATCAGAAAAGACGTTTACTCTTCCATATTCTGTTTTCTCCTCGTCTTTACATGTTTTCCTTTCCCATGAGGAATCTGTGATTATCTCTGAGTCCTTCTTAGAGTAAATCTTATTTTTGACTCTCGGCCCTCAGTTTGCCATTTTTTTGATGTCCTTTCTGGATCAAATTTGTCCACACTTATAAGCAAAACAAATAGGGAATCACATGTGGTCTTTTGAAATGGACTGGAGTTTTCTTTCTTATCTTGTTTTCCTTGTTTTAATGTCTTTATATTTAGATTCATCATTACTTGAGATCATATTAGTGATATGTAATAGACGGTTAAAAAATGTTAGAAAGCTTATGATTTAATGGCATCTGTTTTTATAGGGTTTTCAGGAGCTGCTATTATAAACATATAGTGGTTAGGAGCATGGATCCTGGAGTGAGACTCCATCAGTTTGAATCCCAGCTCCACTAAACTCCTTGCCTCCGTGTCTTCGTCTATAAAAGAGGTAATTGAACTTGTAAAACAAGAATAATGTTTTCTACCTTGGAAGACAGTGTGAGGATTAAATGAGACAGCATGTGTAGATTGTTTAGAGTAATGCCTAGCCTACAGTAGGCTCTAATAAATGTTTGCCTTTATTATTGTTAAGAAGAAATATGCTTGTTGAAGGAAATACCTTTTTTTGTTCTGAGTCTCTCATGACAAGAGTTTCCACCAGCAAATGAACTTCATGAAGTCCTTTTCTACTGAAGTACCTCACCCACATGTCCTACCACATGAAATAGGAATTAAGGGAAGATTTAAAATAGTTCATCATTGCAGGCTCTCTGAAATAAATTGGCATAAAATGTGCTTAAAATTTGCAAATTATACAAGCTACACCCTTTGAGTGCTTGCTCTTAAAAATTTAATAATTTTCAGTAGTAATTTCTAGTTTTTTTGTATTTGCAGATTCCCAAAACAAAGGTAATTTTAATTAAGCATATAAAGCTCTAGCAATTCACATTATTTTTTAGCTGAACAAATACATTCCCATTAAAAGCAGTGGGTCGTCATCATTCTATAAAACTTTAGTAACATTGTTTTCTGATTTATCAACTCAGATGCCTCAGATTGGGAGTATTTTTGAAAATTTGAGATCCAGACCCCAGACCTTTTAAATTGCAACTTGTCTTTTTTTGTTATTATTATTATTATTATTTTTTAATCTGCATCCAGAGTTTGTGCTTTAGTTCATGAGCTGTATAGATTATGCTTTAAGATAAAATTTCATTGTGATCCAAAGAGCATACCATGACAAATCTGTGAGGTACACATATCTTCAGAAAAACAAATCTTTTCCTCTGTGTTGAAAATAAAGAATTTGGGCATGGACTATTTTTTTATTTCCATGGCTGCATTTCACTCCTTTCAACCCTTACAAAATCAAACTTAGCAGCTGAGAAATTCAGACCAAACTATTCATTTCTCACTGAGTTGCTAAAATGAATTATCTGTAGAGTTTAGGTAGTTGTAAAAGAATTGGTTATAGTAATGGAAACACTAGGCAGGCTCTTTATGTAAATGTTTTAGAGATTGTTTGTGAAACTAGAAGATAAGTGTATTAAATGATAAGTGGGCATAGTGTCCCAACAAATAAGTACAATGTTTGTGTGTTACCAAGTTTTAAAATATTTTGTTAGCTGAGGATACCGGGATGTACATAGGACAGTCATCTAGATAAGGTTCTGTTGGCAAGATGTTTGTTGCCTAGTTGTTATTTTCTGTCTCCATGTTTTTCATTTGATCTATCCTACAAGCCCTAGAAAATTTTTATTCTCAAAACAACACTGCTCACTAATCTGTTGCTGAAAAACTTTTAATTACTTACAGAATAAAGTCTAAACACCTTTGATATTCTTCTATGATCTGGCTTCTAGTCATTTTTGCAGCTTATGTACCAGTCCTCCCGTAAACTTTCTCCATTTTATCCAATCTTTTCTGCTTATTTTTCTCAAATCATGGCACACATTTTGACCTTTATACTTATTCACCCACCATTCCCATGATTGATATTTTTTGCCTTGCCTCTCCATTCATTTAAGATCTAACCATACTTTAGGGCGAAGATCAAGTCCTAGTTTCTCGTCAGAGCTTTCCCAACTGATTTGCTTTCTGCTCAAATTTAGTTATTCTCTCTTTACCACAAGTTACAAGATTGTGGACATAATGTGTATGTATGTATACATGCGCACGCACATATCTACACATAAACATACTTTATTATATTACGTTTGTATGGAATTTGTGTGTGTTTTGCTATTGTTCTTTTTTAGTTCCTTAGCTAAATTGCACACTTTTGAGGGCAGGAACACCTAGCATAGTAACATTTAGTTGGTGCTCAAATGTTTGTCATTGAAGTAATCCTGTATTTGGTCTGTTAGCAATATTTTTCAGGATTATCCACTTGAGTTTTTTTAAAACATAGATTTCTGAATCCACAATTTCAAGCTGATATTGAGAGATAATAATAATCAGAGATGTTCTGGCAGCCGTTTTCTGTTGTATGTGTTTTATGAGACTCAAGGTGCTACTTCAAACAGTTATCTGTTACTTCATGCTCTTTGCTGCCTTTGGTGGGAATGTTCTTGAAAATCATAAAATCAGCTGTATGCTATTAGAGACGGTTTTAGATAACTCTAGGTTGACTGAACGTGGGCATTGAGTTTTGCATTTTAGGATGTTCAGTAGTTGTGAAGCAGATCTGTGAGACAGTTTATCAAAATCGTGCTGAAATTTAAGGAATATTTAAAGTATTTTCTAAAGCAAGAATTTAAATCATTATGTGACTGAAAAAGATATGTTTTGACTATAAGTCAGTTTAGCAAGGTTTGAGATTTTCTTTATGTAAAGATAATTACTTCATCATACATTTCCTACACCAGTCAAGAATTAAGCATTTGTGGTTGATCCAGGAATATTGTTGAAGTCTATGTAATTTGCTTCCTCTTTTTTTTTTTTTGTATCTTCTAGGATTGTATAAGTGCCCTTTTAATAGTTGGTTCTTTGTTTATTATACTAGATATAGTTGGGAGGTGGTGTTTGGAGATGTTCATCTCTCATTTATTCTCCATGACGTAAATATTCTACATTATTCTCTATGATATAAATATTCTACATTATGAAATACCCTTAAGTCTGTTCGGGACATGAAATTAAAATAACACATTACAGAAACCACTTTTGCTTGAGTAATTCAGCTACCTTTCTGTAGCTAAATTCAACGTATATTTTCAACTCTTGCTATGCTTGGCTTTTTTATAACATTTTCGTTTCTGTCGATCATTTCTTTCTTGAAATACATTTTTCTCCTGACTTCCTACTTCTCCCTCTACCTTTTTGTCTCTTCCTTTTCAGTTTTCCTACTTGGCTTTTATCTGCTGGTCCCTTAAATGGTGATATTTCTTAGGGTTTTTTTTTTTCTTCTTTTCTCTCTTGATTTCCCTCTCTACGTATTTTGTGATATTGTTTGTGTGGTTTTGATTAGTATCTAAATGCTCATGATTTTCCTCTCTCTCTCTCCAGTCTAACTCTCTTCTGAACCATGGATCTATATATTTATTCATTCAGTAAATAAATTCTTACTGAGCTCCTGTTGTATTCCTAGCATTGTTCAAGGTAATGAAATACAGAACTGAACGAGACATTGCATTTTCTTGGAGGAAAACAGATAATAAACACATTGATCTTTTCAGACAGCTCTTACAACTATGAAGACAATAGATATGGCTTAGGCTGGTAGGGGTGGGGTTAAGGCAGCAGAAGGGTGCTGTTTGGACAGGGAGTCAGGGAGCCTTTCTGGGATGTGACATTTTCAATCAGCAGTGTGAACATCTGAGGTGGTTTTTAGCCTCATGCACAGTCTCACTGTGCATGAGAATCATCTGTGGACCTTTAAAAACTACTTAAACTTAGCCTTCACCCCCAAATATTCACATTTAACTGGACCAGGATGAGACTAAGCACTTGAATGTTTAAAAAGCTTCCTGTGATGTTCATGCACAGCAGTAGTTGTAAACCACTGACCAAGAGGAGCAGAAATCGAGTCAATGGGAAGAACTAGCATTCGAGGTCTTGCTCTTATCAAATCATGAACTTCATGAAGTCAATCACAAAGTTGCATCATTTTTTAAGTCATAATTTTTATACCTGGAGTCTAGTATTTCAGACTGAACAGACATGTCCAAAGCTGAAATTAATATCCCTTATCTCTCCTGCCCTAATAAAACCCTGCTGTTCTTTCTGTGTGCCTTATCCCAGAACCAGAAGCTACAAAACAAAATCTAGATAACTTCCTTGATTTCCTCCTCACGTTTCCAGCCAGTCGTCGAGTGCTGTTTGACTCTGTCTCCTAAATGTTTCTGCAGTCTCTGCTCTTCTATTTCTTCTGCCACTGTACACTCTCACCTTTTAAAGGCCAACATTCAGAAGCCTCCAGTCCTAACTCCTTTCCTCCAGGTGACCCTCACCCCATACGTTCTCCCAGTGTGATACTGAGTTCTTTGTAAGCCACAAATCTAATTGAATCACTTACCTGCTTACATCCCTTTTTTGGCCCCTCATTGCCCTCAGAATAGTGTCCAGCTCCTCTGACTTGATCAGGCTTTAAATGACTTCTCCATCCTTAATTCTGGCCCGCTGGCTTTCTTCTATTGTAAGCTTCAACCAAACTGAACTACTTGGAGTTGCTGAACATGAGTACATTTCATTTTCGGTTGCTCCCAACTTCTGGCAAAGAGAGAATACTTGTTTGGGATTATATTCCTTATTCCACACTCACTGACCCCTGCTTGTTTTTCAGGTATGAGCTTGGATGTCACCTCTGGTAAACCTTTCATGGCATATGCAGTGTTAGGCCAGTAAAACCACCTTTACTTACCCCATTTTATCACTTTAGTACAATCAAAGTACTATATTATTGTCACTATCACTACTGTCCAGCCAACATTTAATTAATGAGCAGCTATTTAAATGTTAAGAACTTTAATCTTTAAAGTTAATGAATAAATGTTCTAAGTGGAAAGAAACTTGTGCATTATATATACTTTTTAACATAAATTAACTTTTTTATAGGAGAACTATGCCATTTTTGGGTCAGGATTGGAGATCTCCTGGATGGAGTTGGATTAAGACAGAAGATGGCTGGAAGAGATGTGAATCCTGTAGTCAGAAACTTGAAAGAGAGAACAACCATTGTAACATCAGTCACAGCATGTAAGTTACAGCTGAGCAGAACCAGTCATTTGACAGTTTAGCATGTATGGTCTTACCTATTTTTCAAGTCCCTGCAAAGCTGCATAACTTTTGACACTTGCCCACCCAGAAGGCTGGTGTGAAGAAACAAGTTATTTAGCTAAAAAATGAGGCTAGTAGATTGCCTAATATTCATACATAGATGCTTTTTTCTTTTTTTTTTTAATTTAAAACATTTAATTCTCACGGTAATCTGGGAGAGAGGTATTATTAACCCCACATTATAGCTGAGGAACCTGAGGAAATTAAAATATACAGTTTTGGTGGCATATATCAGAGATGTAATAGTAGTGACTTACACAAGACACATCAGTTTTTCTCCCTTAAAAACCTGAGTTGGCATGATGACTTTGCTCGTAACGTTGTCAAGGGGCCAAGCACAGTCTGTCTTGTTGCTCTGCCATCCCAAGAGTACGGTCTTACCTGCGTGGTCCAAAACAGTGTGTTTATTACCTGCCACATTTGTGCTCGGGCCGAAGGGTAGACACGCAACCTGTGCTTCAGTGGCACAATCCAAAAGTTACATGCATCGCGTTATTGCCCATACCTTATTGGCTAGAGCACTAGTGCAAGGCAGGCTGGGGGTTGTGGCCCAGCCACGTGTCCAGGTAAAAACCAGAGACTGCATGAGCACAGAACCAGGGTAGGTGGGTATAATATGATGACTGCAGTGTCTACCACAGTAGTGTTTGAGAATTTGGAGGGCTAGGAAAGTGTTGAGATAGCCTCCCTGGAATGTCATGAGTCTAGTCATTTATTGTATATTATTTTACATTTGGGTAATTATCAACTGTGTGCTTGGTGGGCCATATGTTTTTCTGACAGAAGTTTAGTAACTTTAGACCAGAGACTGGCTTTTGCAGTATTTGAAGCAGAAATTAATTTTCTATTTTAGTTTTTGTGAGAATAACACATAATATTTGTTAAACTTATATTGTAGCAGTTCTCTGCCATGCTAAGATTTATTTAATGTTGATAGCTGTAAAACTTATTTAAGACTTGTAATTATAATTTTTATGGCAATTTTTTTAAAATTTAAAGGTGGTTGACTATATCTAGAAATGTTAGGTGTCTCACATTTACTCCCAATAGCCACTATTAAATGTGGATTTTAGTATGGAGAAGTATATTACAGAATGTCAGTTTAAAAAAAAGCTGTAATGCTTGAAGTACAGTGTTACTGCTGCATCTACAGTAAGGAATTTGTGGGAATTTGGTTTTTTCCCTCATGTGTTCTTTTTCCCATCATCTCAAACATATTTTAAATGTCTGAGAATTGTTTTGTTTTTTTTTTTACTCTGCACACATAGAATTGGAGAATACAGTCGAGATATGTTTTCTCTGCGTAACTTGCTACCCCTCTGTCTCCCTTTCCCCTTCCCCCAAACTTACTTTCAGATCCACCCCTTTGAACCAATGGCTGCTGTTAACACAAGCATCCCTGAGTAAAAAGGCTTTATGACAGCAACCCTGGCTGCCCCCTGTGGGGCACAGTGAGCGAGAACTAGTCAGCACCACCCTTTACCCCACCTAGTTGCTTTGCGGTACTGGCACCCCCCCTTTCCTACTCTGCCGTCTTGTTCATCTTCCTCTGACTTCTGTTCGTTCCTACCAAAATGCAAATCCAAACCTGTGGGTAGAGGCTATTGGTGACCTGAAACTGCAGTAGATATAATCCTTTCTCTGGAAGGAAAAAACATTTAACTTTGAACCTAAAATAGATTTTAAAAAGATAAGACCGTATGTAACCACCATTTAAAATCACTACATAAATGGCCTTCTCTTTCCCCCACATGTCTTTGAGAAACATGTCTTTGATTTAAGGTGGGCTTTCTAAACGTAGAAAAAGAACTATAGTAAAAATAATTTAGGTAATCAGGATTCTACCTAACTTTGTTAATTTTCTTTTTTGTGAATGTGCATGAAAATAGAAGGCCTTTAGTATCCTCCTGCTTACTTTTCAACTCATTTTAGTATTAAAAGTTTAGGTAACATTGGTAAGAAATTAAGCAATTCAACATGGTTGATCTGGGGGCAGCCAGCCAGTTCATACTCTGAATCCTTGATTAAGCTGCTCTTTCAAACAACATTCATGATATTACTGAGGTTTAAGCATAGTTTGGTGGACAGAGGATTCATCTTGAACCTGACCTAAGGAAGCCTTTTATTAGGCTGTTGATTCAGAATAGAAGGTAGGTCGGCTGGGATCCAGAGTGAAGAGAGGACAGCCAGTTAAGGGTTTCAGTAGACAGGTGAGAAATGTTGAGTGCTGCCTTTGGTGATGTCTGCACAGCTGGACAGAGGGTCAGGATCAGTAAAAGAGTGAGTCACAGATTGAGTGGACAAGCCAAAAGGGTGGCCCTGAGAAGGACTCTGAGGGTTCAGCTGGGGAAATGTAAGTAAATAATCTGGCTGGGTCTTCTCTCCAGCATGGTGTTGCTGCCACTCAGTTTTATGTTTGACGACAGAAATTGTATGATTCCTATAAAGGAAAGATATTGAAGAAGAGTGTCTAAATACTATATATCTTTAAGAATTTCTAACTTTTTCCGTCAGCTTTCAGTGTTATTATGGGCACTGTAATTGCCTATTGTTATTTCAGTATAACTAGAGGCATTGTTGCGGATATATAAGAAGTTGTTCCTTGTCTTTTGTGAAGTTGACATTTGAGGAGGGAGTGTGTAGTCAAATGTAACACATTCAGCTCAGTTTTGGCAGAGGTGCTTCTGGGGTCTTTGCATTGAATTTACTAAATCATTTTTATTACATTGTTTTTATTTATACCTCATAAAACATTATATTTTCTATTCAAATTTGAATGTCTTAACATTTATTTTGGTAATTTGGTTCTCAGTGGGCTTGGCAATGGGAGCCATCATAAATTTAAGATTCTACCAAAATTATCTACAACTCTAGTAGTTCCCAGGATATCCCAAGATAATGGAATTCTGTAAAAAGCATTTTTAAATTGTGCATCCCCCAAGGAAACAAGATAGAAGAAGCTACATTTTTGGTTCCCTTATGAGAATGTGAACATAGTCTGTGGTTACCATGAGGGATAGAGAATTCGGGAGATCTTCTAGCCCTTGAAGTATGTACTGGGCTCAAAAGCCACTGTACCTTGGAGAGGAGACATCCTGTATCCATTTAAGTAAATATCCTTGTTAGCACATTGACATTTTCACCTTAGGATGTTTAGAGTATTGTTACAGGTTTCAGCAAAAATCCAGATGACCTTCCTTATAGCCTTTCTTTAGTGACAGGAAAGAAAAAGAAAATTAATTTCAGTGTTGGACTCAGCAATAACTGTTTCAAGCAGTATTTGTTGTTAGTGCTTCTTAAATTAATGATTTTCTCTGGATCGTAAACTCTTGTCTCTGACTTTAATATTATCTCTTCCCCAAATTTGTGGGTTTTGTCAGTTATAAAGCAACATGTGCTCATTGTAAATGAAAAACAACAAAAAATCCATGTGTCCTGAAGCATAGAACGTGAAGGGTGAAGTTCCCTTTTTCTAGCTCAGATCCTGTTCTGCACAGTCACCCCCTGCATGGTCATGCTCACCAGATGTCAGAGTCTACAAAGAATTACGGTCATTTTCTCCACCCCAATCCCTGCTGTTGCCTGGTGGTTTCAGTGTCCACTTGTGGGACTCACAGCCTCTGGCCTTGGTACTGTCCTCTTTGTTCCTAGCATCTCCTTCTCTCCTCTTCTGTGTCTCAGCCACCCACTCCCATGGTCCAAACCCATGAATTTGGGCATCCCAGTCCTTAAGCATAATCTTCTCACCTTCCAGATTTTCTGACTACCACCTCAACTGTTGACTTTTCTATCCTATCCATCTTTTTTTATATCTCCTTTTGTCCAGCTTATATTCCATGATCCATTGTTTCAGTAACACTCTTGCCAATACCCTAAAATCTATCCTAGTCTTTTTGTAAAAAACACAATCAAATGGCATATTCCCAACCCTGAATGAACCAACACATGAGCAGCTAATAAATGTAAGAAAGAAGATTCCAACCAGAGAACACAGTGGGGACATCATCCATTCACTCACTTGCTTTCTCCTGAATTTATTCTCCCATTGCTTGCTCCTCCTTGTTCACCCACTCGTTGATTTGTTCTTTTCACTTGCTCACTCATTTATTCTTCCACTCACTCTGTAAACTGATGTTTCTTGGTCATCTGCTATGTGCCTGTAGGGCCTCCATGCGGCCCACAGCCCCACTGTGTTTGCTTGGTTGGCCTGCTCTACTTCTCTCTGTGTCATCAGTATTTCAAACCTCCTTCACTCTCCTCTGATGTTTGGCTCCCTACACACCTCCTTCCCCATCTTTTCAAAACAACCAGATCTCTTGTGTCACCAGGAAATCCAGAGCCATCAGACTACTTCTCAGAACCTTAAGTTGATTTAAAATTTTCATCTTTATTAACTTTATCCTGAATCTTTATTTTTTGTCCAGAACACCTGAACAGAGGCTCATTTTCGTTAATTATCTCACAGGGAACAGTAAGTGTGTTGCCCTTTGCCTGTTGATTACCCCCAGGGGTAGAGTCCTAGGTATTTTTCCTACGTGAGGGGTAGTGGCTTTTCTCTGCTCTGGATGGGAAGGACACAGCTTCCCCCCCCTCCAGAAAGGGTTTCCTTAGAAATGGAATGGGCCAGAGTCCTACCTCTACTCCTTTGTTGGCAGATAAAATCTACCCAGGAGCCAGACTTAGAGGTGTCTCTGGTCTTGTTATTACACGTACTGTTACACCTGTTTAGTCCAAATGTATTAAGGATTTACTATATGCTATGGTGTCAGGATACAGCGATAAATGAAACGTAAAAACCCACGTCTGATGGAGCTTGCATTCTGGTGAAACCAATAGGCAATGGACAAGATGAGTTCCATAGTGTAGCGAGTGTGGTAATATGTGGGAGATAAGAAATGCTAAGGACGGGTGGTGTTGGA